TACTGTCGCGAAACAACTACGTTAATGATGTCACAAATAGGTGCTCTCGGTGGGCTGTTTTGACGTCACCATGATGCATAAAGAATGATTCAAAAATGATGTCATCTTGATGTTTTCACGACTAATATGTTCTACTTGGGAATCTCATACCCAATAGATTGTTTCGTGGTGATTTACGCTATAATTTTGGCAAAAAATAACGAATCAACATGAATGTCGATTGTGAATGTCCTTATATATGTACATATGTTTTATTTTTAGAAAATGATACAACAGAACCTTATTGGGTCGTGGAAAGAAGCTGGACGGATTTACGGATGAAACTGAAAAAAAAAACTGTAGACGAGGAGGAGGGGGACGAAGAAGAAGAATTAAACATTATTTATTCATTATCAGACAAACAAACAAGAATATCAATATCACGAAGGATAACCGCTTTGCAATTGCGTTGGTGGCCGACGACTTGAACCCGCCGTCGCTCGGCGTGTCTGATGCCGAACGAAAGACAGCTCGAGTTGGACAACACACTGGCGGACGGGGAACGTAATGATAGCGCCGTGGTTATCGGCCCGACGCTGTCATCATCATCGTGCACGGTGCCTTACATTGGCACCGACCAGGGCTACGTGTTCGAAGGTGGCGGTATGTCGACGTTGCAGCAGCTGGGTGCAGCCGGTCGCGGAAACACCGACTGCATTGGTGGCGGAGGAGATCTTGGGTTCGGTGCATCGATAGGAAGGTCGAGAAGTGGGCTAAGCAGCGGGATAGGACTCAGTGGTGTCAGTACTGGAGGAGCTACGGGAGTTGCAGGGATGGGTGGAGGAGGAGGAGGAGGAGGAGGAGAAGGCAGTGGTGGAAACATGAATAAAGAAGTTCGTTACACTCCATTTATGGCATCTGTAGGTCCGATTGGTACTGTGGCGCCGGTAAACCTGCAGTCTCTACCGCCACCGCCGCCGCCATCGCCGCCACCACCACCACCGCCACCACCCTTGCCGCTGCAGATGCAGCAGCAGCGTGCCTTTTCGAAGTCGATGACTTCCCTACCGCCGGAGCCGTTTATGATTATGCGGTCAAAGGCATTAAATCGACGCGTTTCGATTAATGTCGGTGGCGTGAAGCATGAGGTACTTTGGCGTACTCTTGAGCGATTGCCACATACACGCCTAGGTCGACTGAGAGACTGCAATACTCACGAGGCAATAACTGAACTTTGCGACGATTACTCCCTAATCGACAACGAATACTTTTTCGATCGACATCCTAAATCATTCAGCTCAATTCTTAATTTCTATCGCACTGGCAAGCTACATTTAGTAGATGAAATGTGCGTGCTTGCGTTTAGCGATGATCTCGCATATTGGGGTGTTGACGAGCTCTATCTTGAAAGTTGCTGTCAGCATAAGTATCACCAGCGCAAGGAGCACGTACACGAGGAAATGCGCAAGGAGGCAGAGTCACTTCGGCAGCGCGAAGAAGAGGAATTTGGTGAGGGAAAGTGCGCCCAGTATCAGAAGTGGTTATGGGATCTTCTGGAGAAACCAACCACCTCTATTGCGGCACGGGTGAGTCGCATCGCGGCTTAGAAATCGATTTGTGTGTGTACAGGCATGTGGCGATAGAAGACAATGCACACAAGAAACGTCACGCATCACCTGCTCTGTTGTGACGTCTGTCTAGCTGGCCCCTCACTTTATCAAAATTAAATTAAAAATTCTCAAATAATGCGCTATTTATGCGCTTTATAAGTCCACAAGAAAAAATTTTCCGCTCGTTTCGTTTAGTCAAAAAATTTTCTTTGTGTGGGATGAGTAGGCTGTCACTGAACCCTTCCCACGGGTTAATAACAACCCATTCCAAAAATGAATTATATAGGATTTACGCGCTATTTATGCGCTCTTATACTAGAGTAACTTTGATTTTTGCGCTGCAACCCATAAGGGACTT